AGTACCCGAATAATCAATCAACTTCGACGGTGTGGGTAGCTGGGAAGTAACAACTGCCCACACACTTCCAAAAGCACACGAAGCCTTCCTGGGCATCATTCTCCTGAGCATCTTAAACTCTTTCCTACTTGTTAGCTTCCTTTTTTAGCAAATAATTTAGTAGTAATGTAAGGGTAGAAAACTCGATAAGAGAATGTCTATTTGCATTCTGATATACACATAAAGGAAAATTATGTACACCTTATCATCAGAGAGGTTTTGTGTGCATTAGATGTCTGCGATCTCTGTCTCACGTTAGGTGGTTTCACAAGGTAAGTAATGTTGACGTTAGGCGTAGAGTGTTGGGTAAAGAGGGAAAATCAATCGACGAGGCTATAAAGTTACATAGACTAAGATGACTAGGTCACGTGCTGCGCATGCCTAACCACCGCCTCCCCCGACGGGCATTGCTAGCTAGCTGATATTGGTGCAGGTTGGAAAAGAGCCAGTGGTGGCCAAACAAAAACATGGCCTCATCAATCCATGAAATCCTTGACAGTTAAACTGAGTCAGGTAGGGAGATGCAGACTTCCGGGTTGGGGCCCTCAGGACTCTAGGAATCAATGGCTGGAGACAATAGGTGACATGGCTCAAAGTGATCGTTTTCAATGGCGATGTATTCAGTCTCTTTAATCTTTCATATTCCTTTCAACCATTACCCATTCTGTTTCACTCTTATACTTGTCAAACTCTATTGATTCTCTTCACTCATCTTCTTGTCTACCTTTGTGTGCTATTTGGAACGTGGCAACTCGAATTGGTGCACTTCGGTGTCAAGTTCTATGTTGAATCCAGCCAGCCAGCTTTATCATCAGAAAATCATCATTTGTACAGATCTCAAATGTTTAGGCTACTTCTGCCCCCCTCCGTCGGATTGTCTTACTTTGTCTCCTTTTCATGTCTCCAATGTTTCGCTGCAACACTGGCTCATTTGCTGTCTTTGATGTCAAATCGATTTCTCCGTGATTTTTTCTGTGACAATGAACGTATCTCTATATACTACTGATAAATCTTATCAGTAGCACACACGCCATATTGTCACACTTGTATGTTACTTCTATTCACATTGTACTGCGTCTTTTTCACTCACCTTCTTCGCTAAGCTTGTTTCTCAATCAATCACAATTCCACACCTGATTAAATTTCAAAGCCTTACATCCATTTTGAATACAGGCGTAAGATAGGGCCGTTTGACTAGTGTTGTGGTGAGAGCAGGTTGCAAGCCGAAAATTGTAGAAAACAATTGGCGTCAATTTTCACGTCCCGAATCAGGGTCATGAGAAGAAATAAAACACAATAACAAAGCTTAACCACCTTGAGGAAATCACCAACCAATCACAGCGGAGTTATAGTGTGGAAATGTGATTCACAGATATATGGCTTAACTTTCTGAGAAACGGTCACAAGCAGTAACAGAATAACCTTCAGCAAGGAAACAACCAATCTACATACATATCTCTTGATTTTCTGTTGACTGACCCTTGTCTTCTGTCGTTACAGTATCATCATCGGTGATATTCTCAGTTGTGGTGGACTGGATTATGCGGTACATCCTGCGTGAGAAGCGAGAGGACAGGAAAACGTTGGACCGAGATTAGGAGACTCTGGATTTCCTGATTGGATAATTTATGTTTAATGTCACATATACATGAAGGCTTACACACGAAAACCAACAGACTGGCTGAATAAGTTGGCAGACAACGAAGACAAGACTCCAGGTAGACAAAGAGAAGGTGAAGACGGAATTGGTGGTGAAGATAACCAACTAGCCGACCAACAGCAACAACAACCACCATCAACGAGATGGTGGTATTTGAAAGAGGTCACACTTCCTTCACTTCACTCATCTGGCCAGGTAGAATCGTTTCAACTACAGACAATCAATCAGCACAGATGGCGATATCACAGCAGAGTAGGGAAGCCAAGACGGACCTTCACCACTCCAAAATCAATTTGAAAATATTCCGTACTCAGTACCAAGAATAAAGTTCGGATTTTCAACACCAGTGTGAAGCCGGTTCTTCTATACATGTCAGAAATTTGGCGTAACATGAAAATTATTTCTAACAGGTTTTGAATTTTCATGTGTAGTTACCTTCGCTAGATAGTGAAGAACAAATGACTGGGGCCAAAAAGAATTAGTAACAAGAGACTCTGCAGTGGAACAAACTGTAACAACAGAAGACAAGGAGGTCACCCAACAGATCGTTTATTTACGGAATCAATACAATTTTATATATTTTCATGTACATTATTATAGATTATTGTAAGCAAACAAACACAGTCTTCTCATTGGTGGTTTCTCGCCGAACGTTAATCTTTCATCTCTTTGTGGCCGCGTTTCGTGAACGTCAGATCATTTATATGCTAACTGTATCCGCCTACGCAAAGTCTGCTGTGATTGGTTGTTGAATCAGTCTTTGTTCACGACCAACATTGACGCAAATTACTGTCGACCAATATGGCTAGCAGCTAGCTCTCACCACAAAATCACCCAAGAACCTGTTGTTCAACAAACATTCCGAAGAAAATTGAGACGAATCAGAAGAGACCGTCGGATGACTTCATACACCAGGCCATCACTGGAGTGTGGAACTCGAACAGGTGACAACAACTTGAGCATTAGTGTCTTAGGGTAAAATGGAGATGGTGTGAAGAGCGCAGTCATGGAGCCAACTGAAGTGGAGTGTAAATGGAGATGTTAAGTTGAAGCCTTATATGTTCCACCTCAAAAATCTTATGGAATAATTAATAATAATATGAGCCAGTTGTTCGACAACAAGAATATGTTTAAAAAAAAGAGAAAGAATTGCGTAATATAGTATTTATTGCCGTTACAATAATGATAGCCAGTTATGCATGCAGCGGATACATTTTTAACGTGGAATAACAGATTAATAGGTATGGGGTGTCAAAATAAATAAATAGTCGTATTTGTGTAACAAACTTCGTGCTCTAGGCTGAAATCGATTATCAAAATATTGTAAAATGAGAGACAATGGTGGTGATTAGTCGTCGTAATAGATTTGTAGAGTGTGGGGTGCGTCGGTGGCACAGTGGTTAGGACTCTCGCCGACTATGCACATGGTCCGAGGTTCGAGCCCACGCCGACGCACACCTGATATCTATGGTCGGCCTGCGAACTTCGGGCTACCGATATCCACGCTGAAAATTCCATACTTGTACCAAAAATACGGTGTGGAATCAAGCTGTAATCAAAATAAAAATTTAAAAAAAATAAAAAAATTCACAAGTCAGTTCAAGGTTATTAAGGGCGTAAGATGAGCGGAGTGGCCAGTACAAAGTTGTATGTATTAAAGAGGAGATAGATAGTAAGACTGCAATAAGAGGTTCATAACGAATTAACGAATATGTGAAATGAAGAAATAGGTGGAGGTATATATTGAGAAAAGAGATAATATCACTAATAATAAGTCCGGATAGTATAAATAGAAAATTCGATAGTATTGAGAGAATGTTTGCATGAAGGGCATAAATTAGGACGAACAATAATAATAATAATAATAATAATTATAATAATAAGCAAAGAAAAAAAATAAATCCAGGAGGGTTAAGGGGAAGAAGCACTCTTGGTGAGGAGAAGAAGAATCATCAATCCACGTTTGGCCACGGTAGGAACAGCGTCTGGACGTATTCTTTTTGGATTGTCTCGCATTTTACAAGATTTTATAATCGATTTCAGCCTAGCATTACGTTTGTTACACAAATACGACTATTTATTTCGTCACCCCATAACTACTAACCTGTTATTCTACGTTAAAAGACATGTTTCCGCCACACGACTGGCCTTTATTGTAACGACAACACATATTATCTATTCTATTATATTGTAAGAACCTGAAGAGAAGGATGCATTGAAAAGAATATTCTTCGTTAGGATTGACTTTTAATTCATAATATGGGAATATTTCACACTATTACATTGCGTAATAGGCTTTTATTTAGTTGTCTGAATACCATCCGTGTAAAAGATTACAATATATATGTATGTGTGAACGTATATTTATAATGTCTTTCAACAATTATAATATTTATTACGGAAAAAACAAAACGAAAGGTTCAAATTACACATAAATACAAATAATTATAAACAGTAATAATAATAATAATAATAATAATAATAATAGTATAAGAAATGGGCCGAAAGAGAATGAAGAACACCAACGATACGAACAAGGACCAACCATTTGAAGATGAACACACACACACCAACGAACCAAAAGAGCACCCTCATTGTATCCATGCACATGAAGAAGAAACCACAGTGGGAAATTTATCACATACCATCACCTTCCCTCCCCCCTAAAAGCCAACGCGCCCCCAGGGGAAATATAAGAAGGCAAGGAGAAAAAGCAGTTTTCCCATCTAATGCCTCTTAAATACCCTCTTAAAGTTTTGAGTATCAAAATGAGAAAGGGAAAAAAACGAAAATCAAAACAGAAGACCTACCTTTGCATCGCTATAAATAGGCGTCTTTAATATTAATAATAATAATAACAGTAATAATAAAGATATTCCGAGGTATAAAAAAGCGAAATTTGTGTATAAATATATAAGCTACTTATAAGTAGGCAAAGAATGTATCAGTTAAAAAATAACAGAGCATATATTCACTTGCTCCACACACATAGAAATGGAATATACGTGTATATTGTATGAGAAGGGATAGAAAGGGGAACACCAGCGAATTAAAACAGACATACTCACACATTGAAAATGCAACTGTTTGTGTACATTTTCGCGGACTTGTTTTTGGAAAAAAACATAAAGATTGTAATAAGGCAATACAGTGGACTTGTTTGTTCCGATGGGGGTAAGAGTATACAGTTAAAGTAGTTATACATTACATCACTCATGAATAGATAAAAACTGAACTTTGTACAAGATGAAGGTCATTAAAGACCAAAGGGGAGAACTGAATAACCCACATTCAACTATGCTTAACAATTTGGTTGATAAATTACATCACGTGGAGGACTTGAATATCGTGGGGTCAATAAGTCCGCTGCATAAGCATCATCCAACGATGAAGATCTTTTCAACCGGGTAGGACGTTGAGAACGTGCACAATCACGTGGACCTCTTAGGTGAACATCTGATGGGGAGTTTAAATTCACCAATGATGTAACACGTGAATGTGTAGGCCATCTGATTTGACTTGTTGTTGTTGTTGGGAGGGAATCAACACTCCATCCCTTCAATCCGTCCGGTTTCCATGCATGCAACCAAATGACAAGACAAGTGATATTATCGGATGCACCATTTTGAACAGCTAAATTCACTAGAAATTCAGAGAATGAACGATAATTGGAACATTCTTTCTTTTGTTTAATATGCTCTTTATACCAATGATTGGCTAGTAGGGAGATTTCTGGGCCACTACAACCGGGTGTATCCCAAAGACCATCACTTGCTGCAACTAGACACAAAGGCATGTGTTTTGATGAACTGTGATGATGATCACACTGACTACTAGCTGACCAAATTGTCATTGACGGCAGGGCATTTAAACCAGCCGCAGTTTCATCATCTCCGATGGATCGACTTACTGACGACAGACAACCAACTCTACAATCTAATAGAGCAGGATTATCTAACGGAGGGATTGAAACACGTTTACTATGACAATAACTGCCTGGGGAGATAGCATCTTTGACACCAGCACCAGCACGAGCAGCAGCTAAATTTGCCAGCGAATCTTTAGGGGTGCGTGAGAAGAAAATTTCATTCTCTACGGAGGAACTATTCTCTGCACCGACTTCAGTTGATATTGAACCACCAGTTCGTAGGACAGAGACAAATTCACACTGAAAGTTAAACAGAACACAGAGAAAGAAGAAAGTAATGGAATCAGGGTTGAAAAAAAATCAAAATATCAGCATAAATATTCTTAGAGTTTGAAAACTAAGAGAACATTATTCGGTTTTTCCGACCTGGTTGATAAACACAAATTTCATACATTATGGGGACCAAGAAGTGCTCCGCAGAGAATCTCACGGTTTATGCAAGGAGTGGGATACTGCCCAGACGCTCAGATAGAAGCACATGGTTTCCTTAAAGGCCCACCCCTCCAGAAGTTACGTTCCCATGGTAGTCGGTGAACGAAACAGGTTCATACGCCGCCGTTTGATCCTTTTGGACTTAGCAGACCATGTACACTACACCACAGGTTTGTAATAAGAGTTTCACAACTCCGCTAGGTAGACGTACATGCTCAGCAGTTAGGTGCTTTTAAGTACAAGATGTTTGCAGTCACCCTTTTACTTCTGTAAGGAATACTCTCGTTGCCGCGTGAAGGCAGTGAATGGGATTTACGTGGCAGAGGCTGTGAACGCTTGGCTACAAGAAACTGTTTTGGAAGGAAGACCGTAATGTACTCATCGGTAATGTGAACTATCGATTCATTTTACGTTTACATTAAGTAGGTTTACGACTCAAAGTTACTACAATGTGGTTGGAGTGCAAAGTTGTCATATCAACTGATGACCTGACGAGATGTGTTAGGAACAGTTCTGTCACCGTTGCTCATACACAGTAGTATGAAGTTTACATACTTATGTAACGAAATGATCAACCCAAAAAGCATCCCAGAGATTTGTGCAGTTGTGGATTGGTTCAAACTGTCACAGCTTATAGAATATCAGTGGACTTCCCACATGACCTGAAAGTCCCAAGTTGGATTCTGAAGGAGTTATGAGTGTGCTCTCCTGATTTGTCTTAAACTAGGACAAAACATTTAGCCAGAGATCCTAGATTTACAATGCATTTTTAACTGACGATGGTTCCAGACGAAATCTACAATGAAATTGTTATTATTACCTCACCCAGAGATATTTAATCAAGAGGCTGATGAATAATTAGTGTTTGGCTTTTAAGCCATTCCCGACCAAAAGGATGCTATACAATGACTTGTAGGTGAGGCTTGTTTATCAGAATGAAGCAACAAGCCACACTGATTGGACAAAATGTTTATGCAGATCCTACCATGCCAGAAAATTTGTTTGGATAGCAGATAGTAGTTACTAGAATAGTGTAAGTTGTGCTGCTAGCGAATAGGGGATATGACGACAATAAAGTAATTTCCCTGGTAAGGAAGCCTCTATGCTTTGCGGGGAGGAGTTACAAAACGTTGAATCCGAAAAATTTACATCCCTATTTCACTTGCAGCGGTCCGTTGCAAGAGGATACAATTTCAAAAACTCAACTGAAACGGACCATGTGTGTGTCTAGCTTCAAACAACGCTTTCTTGGTGTCTACGACCAAGGAAGATGAATACTCCTTGAATTTCAGATTTTCAAGAAATCAACTTCCACACAATGTGGGCAACCGAGAAGTGATAAACACATGCAAACGCACTTCCTGTTAAACCTATCATCAAGACTTTTCGAAGCTTTTTCTAGACTTCTGATGTATAATAAGTTCCTTATTTACGTTATTTGTAAGTGATTATTGTCTCGTTGAACTAAGAGATCCTAGTACCAAATTCTGCTGAAAAGAATTTAAATAATCCTATGTTGTATATTTTAGGCTGCCTGAAGATGAATAGAAGTCTCAAAATAATAAAATGGGAACATTTACTACATTGCAAAGTTTTTTCTTCTTGCTTTGACGAAGACGATCGTCAAGGCGACACGTTGTATTACATTCAATACAATTTAAGAGTAGTCCTACCGTGTATCAGAAATCTGTAACACGCCAAACGTAACTTGAAGTCAATTGCTTGGTGGTGACTAGCAGTGGAATACAGGACAACACGAACTTCGTCCTATTTGGGACTCGTCATCCAAATGGATGAACCTGCATTCCCCAGTGAGTGAGTGAGTGAATGGTGTTCCCACAGAAGCTCGAATCCAGTGTCCATAGTTTCAAACGCCAAAGCGTTATCCACTAGACCACTTGAGCCACGAAAGCCACCTCTTTTGCAACGGGTCTTATTAATTATTTAATCCAATTTAGATTTCTGTCGGCGACTGATTAAATCGAAGAGCTCCTTGTGCAGATGCTTCGACTACGTCTGGTCAGTAGCACAGTGGTTAGGACTCTCGCCGACCATGCACATGGTCCGGGGTTCGATCCTCTGCCGACACACACCTGATATCAATGGTCGGCCTGCAAAATTTGTGCTACCGATATCATATGCTGAAAATTTCATACTTGTACCAAAAATGCTGCGTGGTTTCGAGCTATAATCAAAAATCAAAAAAAAAAATCAAAATTGACTTCAAGTTACATGACCAGACATTGTCGAAGCATCTGCATTAAGAGTCGACATATCAGCCTGAGACCGAGCACTTCGGTCCAATCGATCGACGCGAAAATCTAAAGTAAATTATATAAGCCAAAAGTAATCATGATTAAGATTAACCAATCAAATCTAAGCCAAGCGAAAATCAGCTGACAGAAAAATTAACCAATAGGAAAGAAGATAGTAATAACAATCTCATTGGATAAGCATATTCAACCAATAAAATTCATCTTATCAAGAATGACAAAAGCGTAGAACTTACTGGTGATTCTGGACGATGTATACAATCTGTCAATGGAGTACCCAATTGTTCATTCATATCAATATTTAAATAATGCTCAGAATTTTCTTGATCAACAATTATCATTGATTTATTTTCTAATGATTGTTTTTTATTCGTCGTTGTGACCGTCATTGGTGCAGTAGGTGGTGATTGATGATTAATTGATGATTGTTTTTGATGCCTTTCAATAATTGGTGAACTTTGACTTGTTGGTAGATGACCACCATTACATAAGGACAGCCGATCAGTCATAATATTCAATGATGTAGATTTCACTACACGTTTGTTATCGGGATTAATATTGTTTTTGTTGTTGTTGTTGCTATTGGTAACGACGCCATCTATATTTTTCTCTGGTGATGGAATTTCCATTAATACAGTCATTCTGTCTGGTTCATGAAAACTTCCTGTATGATGTGTTTTGATATTACTACTAATATTGTTGTTATTATTATGATTACTGTTCTGGATACCATTACGTGTATAACAGCAATTAATGTTTGGAGGTAATTTTTCTGCATTGCTATTATTATTATTATTGGTAGTAGTATTGTTATTTGTACAAGGAAATACAAGCCATGCTTGTGAATCACCAACCCATGCTGTACATATTGTATCACCTGCAAATATACACACTGTCGCTGTTGTACCGGAAGTCCAACACTATTAGAGAGGAAGTGAGAAACAGGAAGAAGGAGGGTTGAGTAGAAATCTATGCAAAAACGTAGACAATTTTATCATTGGTTGGGGATTTTTCATCATGAGCTGACATCAGTTAGAAAACCGTTGGGAAACCTGCAGGAAGTACTGGATAGCCAGTTGTGGTTTGTCAGCCTGGTTTGGGACTCTTCATCAGTACGCACCCGCCACGGGGGGGGGTTCGAACCAGGGCATTCTGGTTACGACAAGGCAAGCTCGTAGACCATTAAACCACTGGGACCCGACTCAAGTGGACAATTTTACCATTCATTTATGCGTAATTCAATAAACTAACAAGTGGGAGATTGTAGTTGGTATTTTGCTACGAATATACAAGACAAGATTTATATCAAATGCCACACAAACTTGAATTTCTACAGACAAAAACTAACAAACTGATAGAAGAGACAGGTAGCGAAGACAAGAGTTCAAGTGAACGTAGAAAAGATAAAAATGATCAAGATACCGGACTAACAACAAAGACAACAGGCACAAATCATTATCATCGGAAGAAATTTAAGCGGTGGTCACTTCTTTCATTTATTTGGGCGCCATTGTCTCAACCACAGGCGGCACGATGACTATTACAAAGGCAGGATCGGTAAAGCAAGCCACTACCTCATTACTCTGGACTCCGTAGGGAAATCTGATGCACTCTCTATGCTTTTGTATATATGCTTCGGACTTGGTGACTGAGTTAAGAAAAGCAATTCCAACAGGCCATTGTAGACTTTAATCAATAACTGCTTTCACTCGATAGTGAAGGTCCGACGAGTCGGTAGACCCACGCTCAACCTTCCCTCATTTTCCCGGCTTAGGATCGGTTAGTTGAGGAACTCCGGCAACTAGCAAACCAAGAACCTATCACCCAACAAACACACAGAACAAACAGACACACACTGAAAAGGTAGAGTGCTATATCACACGTCAGGAGCTGACCATACAGTGGAACCCGAATAGGAAACGAAGAGTTCAGCACCCACGAGTGACACGGAGATCTTTTGAAGGGGGATACGAGAACTTATGAGTAATTGTGGGGTCAGTTAAAGATGATTGCAGAGAACAGGATAAAAAGGAGGAGAGCTGCTGAAGCTTTGTGTTCCGTTAAGAACTCAAAGGAATAATAATATAGTAATATATACATTACGCTTTACTGAAGCTTATGTCTATCTACTCGACGAACCAACCCACAACTATTCACTACCGTCAGTTAGGCAGAGAACACAAGATCACAATTAAGGACAAAGTAATTGATTGAAATGCTGCGGGTCATACCTATTTCGATTACGTGCATACAAATATGCATAAATTAGTCGTCCCCTCCACCTTCATTTTCCTTCAGACTCCTAGCGCCTCTACGCATATTTAGACTGATAGGAATGAACAACTGTTCCGTATATACACACACACACAGGCGAGTTTAGACGATAAATATTAATGAGAGAGGAAGAAATTCTTTTAGGTATATTCTAACAGTTAATTAACGCGCCTAATAAACGGTGACAACAACAAGCGTAACTCGATAAGGTGTTAATTCTATCGTGGCGTGTTCTACTGATAAGATTTATCAGTAGTATATATATATACATCTAATTTACTCAAAAACGACAAAAAAAATTAAAATATACATTACATAATAGTAATAAAACGATTGTTATAGTAGCTACGTAGCAAAATACTGTGTGCCATACGGAGAAAAATATGTATAAAGTACAAAATTGTAATAATAATAGTAATACCAACTAAAAATAAAATAGCTGAGTAACAATTTAAACGATAGAAAGTGTGACACCATAAAATACAGAAAGATGAACGATAAAAGGGTCGATTCACTGTGCTAATTACATAGTAACTTGTAAGTTTCACGTCTAACAGAGTCTCGTCACATAAAGTACGCGCTAAATAGGGTATTGTAGAATTTCTATACTTAGTAGTACGCATATATCTTTAGATATTGACTCTCGTCCTACCTGATGAGATACAAGGGACAGGTGTGAATAAAGGGGGTGCATAGGGTCTGACATTATAGCCTTTGCCCATTTCGTACAGGAATTTATATGCCTCTCGACTATAGTATTAGCGAGCTCATGCAGTGGCAGACCACAAGCTCTACTCACAGCATGTAACTCTCGTAATATACTTTTTGAGAAGCCCAGGAAAGATTAATGGGAATTAATGGAGTACAATAGTAAAATACAGGGGTTTACAAACTGCAGAAGTAAAGGTTGGTTGATACCTGATTGTCTTAACTTTTTAATGTAGAAGGTAAGACGAAACATTTTCTTAGAGATAGATAAGATGTGGATGACCATGAAATGTCAGAGAAAGATTTATTCCAAGGTATTTAATGCTTGATTTGGTTTCAATTTCCGTGCCATCTATGCTACAGGGATCATTCGAGTTAACTAGTTCAAGTAAGTCACGTCGATGCTTGAAAGTAAAGTCAAGCGCCTGACATTTGGAAGGATTTAATATAAGACCATTTGACTTGGACCAGTTGTTGATGTCCAACAGAAAGCTATTAAGTTTGGAGCTGTCAGACTCGGAAGTATATATATATATATATATATAAAGATGTTAATCGGCCTAAAAACACCAAATAGCAGGAGGATAGATTTGATGCCAGAGAAAGCAAATGGTACATCATTATGGGGACACATGGGAGATGTGAATGAACACAAAGAAACACGATATGAAGGCCAGAAGTAGCACAACACGAAAGATCTGTGTAAATGGTGCGTTGAAGATAACGGGTGTACATAATTTGGCTATCTAGAGATACTAAATCGCAAATAGGATCTGGACTTCGCCGATGATGATATGTGTCTGATTTCCTACAAACTGGGAGATTTATACGTGAAAAGCAACAAGTTGAAGATAGAAGAAGCATCCAAAGAAAATAGAACTTCAGGTGAACACTGAGAGAACAGAGGTGATGAAGATTCCTGACCGACAGCAACAGCAGCAACAACAACAGACAACAATCAGCCAGTGTAAATGGGAGGAACCTGAAAGAAACAATCTCCTTTACCTACCCACCAACCTGGGAAGCATCGTTTCAACTAGAAGCAGACGGAATTGACGAGGATATCAAAGCCAGAATCGGAAAAGCAAGACAAGCTTTCATTACTCTTAAGTCTGTGTGGAGGTCAACAGCACTCAGCATCAAAAATAACATCCGGATTTTCAACTCCAATGTGAAGTCAGTCAGTGCGACAATACGGATCAGAGACTTGGCGAGTCATAAAGAGCATCTCGAACAAACTACAGACCTTCATCAAAAGCTGTCTTCATTCAATACTTCTCAAGATCAGATGGCCGGGCAGTAAAGATCAGCAACAGGGATCTCTGGGAGCGAACCAATGCAGCAAGAACCGATTGTGCAACAAATAAGCAGGAAGAAATGAAGATGGATTAGATCAGCCATACTCTGAGGAAACCATCAAGTGACATCACTAGACAAGCCAACGCTCGAGTGGAACCCAAAAGGGAAGCTGCGAGTTGGTCGTCAGTGCAAGGGTGACTTGGAGGAGGTCATGTGAAGAGGAGTTGAAAGAATGTGGGCAGGCTTGGAGCAAGGTGAAAACTCCAGCAGAGAACCAAACGCAATGGAGACGTGTGGCTGAAACTCTATGTTTCTCTAGGAATTAAAGGAAATAATAATAAATATAATAATATCAAGTATCTCTCGTCTTCTACCGTTACATTATGACAACAGGAAAACTGATATTTGTGTCAATGTGTGTATGTGTAGTGTTACTGATAGAGAGACAAGTACGATTCACACAACTTATAACTGACTGACTAAGTTTCAACACAGAACTTTGCATAGAAGCGCAGCGCTCCAGATTTCTACAGTCTTCATGTAACTATAGGAAGCAGAAATGTGAAGGAGAGAGAGAGAGAGCCATCTCGTCAACACTACGAAGTCATTGGTTATTTGAATTTGGAGGACCCCAAAACAGACAGTCTACACCTACCAATGTGGGTGGCTGAAACCAAAAGTCAAAGACATCATGGACTGATGCCAGAATTCAGTCTGATCATCTCTAAACTCATTTCCATTCGAATTCTATGTCAGCTAACACTGTTCGCTGAAGATGGTGGTTTGGCATGCTCAACACCAATCCTATCAACCATCTCATTCGATATAGTTTTACAAACCTCGACAATTGACTTCTTTTCGCTACCCTGACATAATACGTCTAGCCTCAATATATTACTCACAAAATTAGACCACTTAACACAGGGAAGACAGAAAGCAAACATCTACAGTCAAGGACAGCTAGCCTTTTCATTTCTTTCACTATGAACGATCATATCACATAGTCGTAAAGAAGAAGAATAAGAGAGCGAACTGCTAGGTAGTACACGCGTCCTTTCATCCACAGCTAGATATCACGACTACACCAGAGATGATGTGAATTGGCAAATACTGAGATTTCATCAGCAATCAGTCAATTGACGGGAGGGGGGGGGAGGTTGATGTACTATATAACAAATTCACAAAATTAAAATCCACAGCTCACTGAATTCCAACGCAAACAGTTGGATGGAAAACGACCTTAGTCTCGTGACCTGAGGGTTCAGGGATTGTGGATACACACTGGTTGAACAGTCTTAAAGAAACCAAACAGATGTCCAATGCTCCTTTGTGGTTTTCAATGACCTCTCTAACTGATAATGCGGCAACTGCAGAGAATAAAGACACCAAAGTTAAATGACCTTCAGCCAGCCAATCAGATTGTTGTTCAGCACTACAAAACTTCATTACAAGTTTCATTCTAATTCAAGGTTAAAGGGGGTTAGGATAGGCATTAAGGTCAGTTTATGATTAAGAAGATTAGGGTGAAAGTTGCAACAAAGATTATGAAGAGCCTCCATTGTCAATACTGATCAACGATCTGATTGGCTGGTTCAAGGTCATTTGATGCTTCTTCATGACGAAATCTAAAGCTGAAATT